GGCCCACTCTACTTTGCATGACTGCTTTAATTCAGGCATGTTGGAGTGTTTTTGAGCATAAACAGCCTGTTTAAGGTCATGCCAAAGCATCTCACTCTGATTCAAAGTCCAGACATTGAATAGGCCACTCCACTTTGTTTTCTGTTAGCCATTCAGAGGTGTTTCAGATTGCTGTCCTGGTGCATAATCCAAGTATGCTTGATTTTTAGAGCATGAACTGATGGCCACACATTCTCAGTTAGAGCAGAATTCATGGTTCTATCATTTACAGCGAGTCATCCAGGTCCTTTAATGGCAGGTTCTATTTGGTCTCTCGATTCAGCAGGTTTGGCAGCAAACAGGCCGGCGTGTGGCTAATGAAATTGAACTCAGCTTTCCAAAAATGTGGATAATCACAATTAATTCACGATTTAACAAGGAGGGCAATTTTTCACAAAGGACCAGGCAGCATTTTTCTTTTAATGGACGAAATCATGATTTGAAAATGGCATTTTGTTTTAACTTAGTTTGATCTGAAACATGTAAGCATGACAGATATTTAAAAGAAATAACAAATCAGGAAGGGTCAAATACGGTGCACCATCTTCACTAATTGTTCTCGCCTGCTTTTCTTGTCATTTGTAGTTCTCCTGAATGGGATCAGATCGACCCTTCTGAACGAGAAGACTTGCATCTGCAGATGGAAGATGGCGAGTTTTGGTACTAGATGATTTTAAAGAAACAGACAGATATTTTTGCCTGGATGAGAATATTGTGTCTTTGTCTTAACAATAAGCTACAACAAGGCTTTTAGCAAAAACTCAGCATAAACAATCAAAGTTTAAGAGTAAACACTAAACTGACTCTGACCATAGATAGAAAATCTTTGCCTTTAAATCCATTTTGTAAAGATATAAATGTGATTTTATTCCATCCAAAAACAACTTAAAAGCAGTGACTTGCTGCTGGAGTGTTATCTTGTAAAAAAAACCCAGCTGGTTTGTTTGTACAGCTGTAATTACGAGTATAATGTGCTGTTAATTATTTCCTTCTGATCTATTATAGTGCTAGGCTTACTGTTTCCCAGCTTCAGGTTTATCATTAACACACAGATATGAGAGTGCTGCAAATTTGATCATCAAACTCTTATAGTGAGTGAAAAAGCACAGTGTTGAACTAGCTGTTTAAGGAAAGCTACAACTACATCTTCCAGGATGTCCTTCAGTGATTTCATCAGGCAGTTTTCTCGACTAGAGATCTGCAACTTGACTCCAGATGCTCTGAGTGACGACAGCCTGAGCCACTGGAACACCATCAAGTTCTACGGCACGTGGAGGAGAGGGAGCACCGCCGGGGGCTGCAGGAACCATCCCAGTGAGTCCTAACTGTGTATACCCCACAAACATGACTTTTACAATCAAGTGTACACAGTTTCCGCAGGTGAGTGACTGTTGGACCATGAAGCAGGCTAACATAAATGTCCCGTCTGTGCAGACACGTTTTGGATCAACCCTCAGTATAAGATCACGCTGCTGGAGGAGGACGACGACCCAGAGGACGATGAGGTGGCGTGCAGTTTTTTAGTAGCCCTCATGCAGAAAGACCGGCGCAGATATCGACGTCAAGGTCAAGACATGCACACCATTGGCTTTGCTCTGTATGAGGTGCGAACAGAGAAAATCTGTATTGTCCCTTTGCCTTGTTTGTATGTTTAAAAGGATCCTCATGCTCATTCCTTAAACTCTTTCCCCTGTTTTTGCAGATTCCAGAAGAGGTAAGCAGAGCATCACTTTACTACTTTTTAAAAAACTTCATTACCATTACTCTTAGTGTAATGTGAACCATGTGTGTCTGTGATTACAGTAAATGGAGCTAAAAGCCTGCATATGTATTTGAACCAGTGTTCTGCTTGCTGCTGCCTTTAGTACAGAGGCTGCCAAAATGTCCATTTGAAGAAGAATTTCTTTTTGAGCCATTCCTCCTGTGCTCGCTCGGAAACCTTCATCAACCTCCGGGAGGTGAGCACACGGCTCCGTCTGCCTCCAGGAGAGTACCTCATCGTTCCCTCCACCTTTGAGGCCGGTAAAGAGGCCGACTTTGTCCTAAGGGTGTTCACTGAGAAGCAGTCAGAGACAGAGTATGTTTACGCTTGTATTTTGTTATTTATTTTCACCCATTACAATGTGTGGAAAAGGAGGCATTGTACCAATAGAGTTTGTCTGTTGCAGAGAGCTGGATGATGAAGTCTCTGCCGATTTGGGAGAGGATGTACGTATACATCAGTTGGAAATTTTAAATTATTACACGTATTGCAAGAATACTAAGGCTTTTTGATTTTACACCCTGTACCTACCATGGTTTGCTTTCCTACAGGAAGAAATAACTGAAGATGACATTGATGACTCTTTTAAGGCCATGTTTGCTCAACTTGCAGGAGAGGTAGGTTTTGAAAAGATCTCTCTTACTGCTTAGCATCTTTTCACCTACGTACTACTTTTATATAATTATCTGATAAAACACCATATGTAGTGGTAATAGTTGCGTTTGCAGTATTCATGATAGGAACAAAGCCAGTAAAGTTGCTCTTAGTTGCAAAGTTTAGTTGTCCTTCATTGTTTTGCAGGACATGGAGATTTCTATTCATGAGCTGAGGACTATTCTAAACAGAGTCGTCGCCCGGCGTGAGTGTTCTCTTTATTTTGGGTGCAATTCACATATTACTAATACATCTCCCATTACTGTATTAGATTCCACTGTAGTGCCCATTCCCTTTAACTGCGTGTCTTTTTTTAGCCAGATGGTTTGAAGAAGGTCTTTTTTTTTTTTGTCATTTCAGACAAAGACCTGAAGACCGATGGCTTCAGTATGGAGTCTTGTAGGACCATGGTGAACCTGATGGATGTATCCTCTGGTGTTATCACACCTAAATCTTACAAAACTGACTATTTTAGGAATTAAATTGTGCCTTTAGCATGTGATTTGTTTGGCCCCTTGACAAAATGTTTCCTAGAAAGATGGTAGTGCTCGTTTAGGACTTGTGGAGTTTCAGATCCTCTGGAACAAGATCCGAAAGTGGCTGGTAAGAGCGATTAAAACAGGAACGTTATACTTAGATTGTCTGTATTTCTATTTATGTTACCGTCTCCTTCTCTCAGCTCGTTTTCAGACAATTCGACCTCGACAAGTCAGGGGCCATGAGCTCATATGAGATGCGACTTGCTGTGGAAGCAGCAGGTATAATTTTTCATATCAAAGCATCATATTGACACAGCTACACACTGGCTTGCCTGCTTGTTAAACCAAGTATAGGTTAACAGCCAATCACATGGCGTCTCTGAGGTTTACAGAGAATGGTCAGAAACAGAAAAAAATATCCAGTGAGCAGAAGTTCTTTGACCAAAATCTCTGATGAATTGTTTCAAGCATTTTGACTCTGTGCTATTAAGAACTAAAGCAACTCTGAAGGCAAAAGCAGATCCAACCTGGCAGTAGCAAGGCATACCTAATTATGCTATAAAGTAGTCTGCAGAGGGACGTAACACTGACCACTAAGTGAATACTAACCCGTTTTAAACTCTATGTAGGTTTCAAGCTGAATAATCGACTCCACCAGATTCTGGTGGCCCGGTATGCAGAGAATGAGATGATTGACTTTGACAGCTTCATATGCTGCTTGGTTAAGCTTGAAGCCATGTTTAGTAAGTAATGTTGACAGACACATTAGAAATAAAAGCAGCATAGTGGCACCATATTTCATTATTAATGCAGTGGCAATAAATGATGAAAACTTTGAATTAATAGGGTCTTTCCGAAAATTTGACGAGGCGGGATCAGGAGAGGCAGAGATGACCCTGACAGAGGTGAGTGCTGTTTTGAAAAGAAAATGTATCCAGTATCCTTTTGTCAAACTTTTCTGTTTGTCTAACTTTATTTGTTACCTTGCTAGTGGCTTTATCTGACCATGTGTGGTTGAAGAGAACCTTCTGTTAAGGTGTATCGAGTAAGGGCACAGTGCCTGCAGACTGCCGTGAAGCTGGAGCTATGAAGACCCTTTCGCCCTAGAAACCTTCAGATCCTTTTACACATCCCACCTCAGCTTAAATAAAAGTTGCAAAATAGCTGTGTAACAGAAAACCAAAGTCCAGCAAAGCCAACGTGGTGCATCCTGGACATATTTTAGGATCTATGCAAAGCTACAGCATGTAGCCGTCACCATATGATATAAATGTGTCATCTTTATTTACAGAGCATGGCCATGTGCATGTAGAAAATCACTAGCTGCAATGTTTACTGCGAGTTGGTTTTACATGTTTTAATTTTGATGTCACTCTCAGCTGACAATTTCACTCTTTGAAGTCAGTCTGAAAATCTGTTTCTGTGCTATTTCTAAAAGTGCTTTAGTTTCTCAGTAATTGTGCATTCATTTGTTTAAATCTTGTTTTAGAAAATCTCGCCAGGGTGTTGTCAGCAGTTTCACTCTTACACCTGTAGGTGTCACTACGGAGCCAATCTGATGTCAGTGACAAACTTGAAACATTTAATATGTACTGAGTTGAACCTGTTTAACATGACGTTGATGAATTGAAGCCACTCACCTCTTAGGTTTTTTGTTTTTTTTTTTACTAAATTGCACTTGAAGCTGCTTGAGAAGTTGCCTCACATTAATAATGTATCCGTTCACTTTTAGTGACCTTTACAGGAATCACATGATACTGATGATTGCCTTATACACACAGAAAAAAAAATCATGGTACGAACAACCAGTAAAATGTGCCAGTCATGTGTTACGAATGTATTTCGTGCCGTCAATAAATATTCAAAGGCTCATGATATTTTTCCATTGTTTCCACAACACAAGTTTGCCCCACATTCTCTTTTGCTACTGGACAAGAAGTGTCTATGCTTCAAAGGTAAAGCCTGTATTTATTGTAAGCATTGGGATGCTTCTGTAAAAGACATGTTGATAAAGATTTGACCTAATTGCAGTACCAAGTTAAAAAACAAAAACAATTGCAATAACATCTGTTCGTTTAAAGTTTATTGAAGACAACTTGAGCACAAAATGTTCACATATTTGACACAGTTAGACAAATGAATTAGCAATTGCCAATACTTTAGAGTAATCTCCCTCTAGTTTACGTAGATGTGTGGGTACAGGGACTTTAATCCTTGTTCCTGTGGGGTTCCCATTGTCCTCAATGAGTACAACATTGTTAGAATCAAAGCGTGGAGCCATCCGCTCTCCAGGCATTTTGTGTCCAACGATAAGCGCCTTCTTCTTTTGTCCTTTAATGGCAAGTAACACTCTGTCACCAACTTTTCCTACGCCGTTCTTGGTGTAGACATGGATCACTCTCGGAGGACGGTGATATGGAGTATTTCCAAGAGAACTGTTGTCCACTACACGTACTCTTGTCATTTTTTGAATGGCTGCAGCAACAGCAGATACACTGACAAGACAAAGAGTATATTAGTCATGTCCAACTTAAGGAGTTAAGTTCATTACTCATTACCAAGCATCACTGACCATGACAGTCACTTAGATCTCTCAGTCAGCAGGTATGCAAGTAATCCACTTTTCTACTAAAATATAAAGCTAAATATCATGTGATATTATAAATTGAACAAGTTGCCTCTTATACTGCTCCATAAGCACTTAATAAAGAAATGATTCAGGGCTGGCTCATGGGGGTAATTTAGGACACAAACTGCACCGGATAACTGAATTAGAAAATTCAATTGTATAATAGGACATTGAGGCTGAGGGGCACGCCACTGCTGTAAAATGAAAGTGTTCAGCCTGTCCTATGAGACCAGCTCTTGCATATATTTCAGGAAAACTGTTTACATGTGACTTTAGAAGAATAGGGAAAAATACTCACACATGGAAGGACCTTCCATTCAAATAATAAAAAAAACAAAAAAACAAACCTCACATCCTTTTTTCCCGCATGTCTGAAAATAATCAGCTCATAAAACCCAGCACTACAGCTTGACCTACTAATGACTTTAGACATTCACTATTCAAAAGTTTATTCGGGTTTCCATCCACGTCTTAAACTTAGATTTACAGTAAATGCAGTTTAAATATATAAGAGTTTAAAAACAGCACTGCGGTGTCACATACGCACATTACGCAATATATTTAAAGCTGCAATAAAAATGCTACGTTTTCTGGTCAACTGGATTATTTTTGCTGAATTGGTTTCTGTAGATGGTCTAACAATGGACACAATACAACATTTCTAAGAATTTTACCTGAAATTCCTCTGACAATTTAGGGACGCCGTCTCCATGAGTAGCCCAGAAAGGGATCTTGAGAGCCAGGGAAGAGCCATAATTACAGCAAATACTATGTCCGCTGAAAAGAGAAACAGTGTGTAGTTAGCAGCTAGTAAGCTAAAGGCATTAGCTAACAATCACATGGAAGCCAGACTAAAGCTTATAACAGAGCCGAACACTTCTTGCTTTATAGTCTTTGCAACAAATACTATATCACATATAATAATTATAGAAAGAAGCTTTAAGTTTAAAACAAATGTCTCGCTAATCGTTACCTATATTTTAATTACGCCCCATGCCAATGTCAAAAGTATGGCGTCATCAGCAGGCGACCACCAACCGACCTAGCAGATATATGCGTTATCATGTTGTTGTTAAATAACTCTTATTGCACTTAAGAAAATATGTTTTTATTTATTTAGTTTTATACGTATTACTGCGAACCATTTCATATCCGTACAGACAGTCCTCACAAAAAGGAAAAGGTTAAACACAAAAACGGAGCTTGTTTGTCATTTGATTTACGTCATAGAGAGGCGCCAGCGGAATTGTAGAAATAAAACAGAATAGAAGCTACACGGTGAAGCGCTCCCTTATGGAGACTATGCCTATGTGATCTACTTCTGCATAAGACACGCTCCAACCCGGGCTGCCTCCAGTGTAACTGGTTGGGTTAGCGATAGTTGTTTAACCGGCTCACAGACGGTGATAGTAACTTTTGTCTTAGTACTGACACTTCGATAAACTACTTCCAGCTGGCTGTTGGTGGACACACAGTCACTGGGTCGAAATCAGTCGACGGTCTTTAAATGCTGGACACTCTCCACCTGTTATTTGCTACGTTACGGGGCTACGTTAGCTGAATTGATTGCTAGCTCACCTTAGCAATTTGTTAAAGTTTCTGTCCCTTCTGCGTAGCATATCAAGGTAAGTTGATTTTCTTATCAGTAAACTTATACCAGCAGTTCGCAGAAATAAAAAATAAAAATATTACTTTGTCGTTTACAGTAGCGAAAGCCCATCGTAAGCTCCTGTCAAACAATAAGAGGGTAAACATGCAGTTACTATTAGCGTCAGGCTAACTAGCCTCAGCTGTATTGAGAGCTGGTTGTTTACACAGTTCATGGAAGTTATGAAACAAAAATTAACCTCGTTGATAGTTATTATTTTGTTTAAAAATGTGCTTTAAGGTTGGTTTTATTTCAGTTGCCCTTCTCGCACTACACGCCCAAGAACAAGCCAGTTTCTTAATGATCTTTTTTTTCTTTTTTTCCACGATCTGGTGGATCAATGGAGACATGCCAGAGTGTTCGTCATAAAAGCTTTTAAGAATATTTGGAGTTCCTTATAATTTCATGGCTACGCAGAGACTGCTTGTGCATGGAGGCGTTAGACAATCAAGCTTTAATTTGTAGTCGTGACATTAAGCTGCGTGTTCAAAGGCAGTAGTTTGACAAGGGTTTAGCTAATCAATAGAAGATCAATAATTCCGAACATTACTCGGATGTCCATCAGGGTGGTTTTAATCGCTTTGTCTTGGGATTTGCATCATAGTAAAAAGCTAAAATCTATTGGCTCTTCTGACTTTGGCTTCCTCACGAACTGATGGCTGGTGGTAGCTTGGATATAAAACTAAATGCTATACTTGTGCGTAGCCTATACAGGGAAAGCACAGGCTGCTACCAGGCGTATTGTTTGCTCATAATGTGGTGCAATAGCATGAATAAGCATAAATGGGGAAAACCTTTGAAAAAGTATACCCCTGACATGTTGCCACTGATACAGTTTTCATATAAGCTGCAAAACAAAGGGCCCTTCCATTTTTCTTCTCCTTGTTAAATGCCTTATTTTAACTGCTTTGTGAAATACAAGCCTTTCTTTGGCCAGGCCATGCTTCCATAAATATGAAAAATATACATAAAAGCACCTTTCAGTCTGAATGCAAATGGATGCCTTAAATTCCATCCAGCTGCCCAGTCTTGAATTAATAATGACACTGAAATGGATAACCTTCCCTTTGCATTAAACCTCAGTACAACCACTACAACTTTAAAAACAGATTTTCTGTCCTATCAGTTTAAGTGAATTCAGTAGATTGGAACATGTGCCTCCTTTTATTTTTATTTAAATTGGAATTAAATTACAGTAGCTGGATTACTTTTACAGGCATAATGCATTTCATTGGATTTATGTAACTCTTAGGGCTCGGTTGTACTGTGTAGTAGTCTTCTATAATATGGCATCAGCTGCAATTTGTTGTCTAGTTTTATTAGGATTTATTGAATTTATGCATTTTCACTGTAACTTAATGCTTGAAGACATTATGAAATCAGCCTGACATTGTCAAAATCTGTGATAATCAAAGCTGAGCCTTTGTGTGTTTGTCAATGATTTACTGGCTAACAATTCAAATAGATGCAATTCTGCATTATCAGCCATCAACGTTATTGGAAAGCTCTTGTGAAGTCTGATAATTGTCTTAATGCAGAGCACAAATTCATTAAAATGTAAAGGAGGTTTTTTGATCACAAAGAGGAAAAAGTACCAGTGGATTCAAAAGTATAGTTTGAATAAATGAACAGTTGTGGACATGCTGTCTCTTCCAGGTTCCCTTGGCAGTTTTCTTACAGGGTGTGCACGGATTCTTTGTTTTTCCAGTTTCACATTGCTGATAAGTTTATCACGCAGTGTTTGAAAGCTGATGGCAGAAAGTCAGTTGGAATGACATGCATAAGAAGTACTTGTTCACTGGTTGTATACATTGAGTGCTGCTGTTATGAGCGCCAGGAAAACTTTTACAAGGTGACTGCTTTGAACCAACACTCGTAAAAAAATACAAATGAAATAACAGTTTTTGTTTTTTCAAGTCACATGTCATAGCAACTTATTGTGAGTTGACCAAAACCAGTTCAGCTTCCTGCAAGCGCCTCATGTGTGTCCACCATGTGTTATATTTCACTATATTTAGCTGGCAAAGTAAGCCAGTGTTACTTGACAGCTGCAAATCTGTGACCTAACCCAGTGTTTTAAAGCACAGGTAGGAAAAAAAAAGCCTGTTCAAATATTTGACTTAGGATGGTTAAAGAAGAAATGACTCGCATGCGGTAATGGCATAAATATGTGTGCTGTTGCTAATTATACATGTAAAATATGAGAGTTTTGCAACATTGTGCATTAAGATGAATGTGGCCTTTAAAAAAAAAAAAAAAGGGTGTGCGTATGTGTCTGTATTAAGGCATCAAATTGAATTGGGAAGTCTGTTTGTCGGTTTTCATTTGTTGCAGTAGAGATTTTCCTGTGATTATTGCTGACTAATTAAATGGCTATAGTATCTGAGAAATTGAAACAAAGAATTTTTTTCTTTCTTTTAAGCTGCGACAAATGGTCTAGAGTGAATTTTCATCGAGCTTCAGATGGAAAAGCTTTGACTATCCTCCCATTACATTCACCCTCCTCATATTTGTAGTTGGAGGAAGCAAGCCAGACTGATGGTACCATGACAACTAGCGTCAGGTGGAAAGGTTGTACAATATTTATGCAACGCTGAGTCATGCTATGATCACACAGTGATGGCGCTGTTCAAATTTTAAGTAATTCAAATGCTCTTTGGATTTGATGTTAGTTGCAATCCAAAAGCAAGAAAAATCAGCCCTTGATGAAAATTTCATTGGTTTATTGGTTAAGGAAATATTGCAAATTAAAGTTCCTTATTGTGTATTCCAAGTATAATTCGTTTTTAGTTTTATTATTAACAAAAATTAAACAAACCTCCAGGTTTTGGATTAAGTTTGAGGTTGTATATCATCTTCATTATAGTTTATTTATCTGTCATTCTTTCAGTCAATGTCTTCTGCTTAAATTATATCAATGTTAAATGTTTGGCTTGGAAGGACCATGTAGTGGTGACACATTGTTTGCTTATTTGACTGAAATCTATACATTATATTAATAAAACTGGTTAAAACATTATTACAATGGAGCTGATTTGCTTTGGGTCTAACAAATTGTGCCAAAAATGACTCCATGCAGGAAAAACGGAACTCTTATTATTGATTGGTGTCGCAAGTTTTGGTCTAAAAAGGCAATTTTAGGCTTCTGTTTTCTTTGAATCATTCATATGAGTAACAAATTTGAAGGAAATGTCTGCAGTAGAGGTGTCAAACAAAATATCCCTGTGAGGCAGAGCAAAAAACCGCATATGTCTGTAAACAACACAGGATGGTCTGGAAAGAGTGCTCTATACAGATAAGTTAAAATGCTGCCCTTTGGCCACAGTTGCCAAAGGTATATTTAGAGAGAATAGGAAGCAGTACTGTACTTGTTAATCATAGGGATGGAAATTTTCTGTTTTTTCAGATGAAAATACTGTGTCATTAGGGAAGATACTGACATTAAAAGGAAGGCTGCACTCTAAAATGTATTAGTAGTTCACCCATGAACTATCAAACATAAGCTGGGCCCTCACAGTGCCCAAAATTTGAACTTCACTTCATGGGATATCTGAGCATAGATCCTAAACAGAATAGATGGGCTAGGTTATGACTAGAAGTGATTTGCAAGGATGAGTAAGTGCACATTCCTAATGCAGATTGTAAAATGGCTTGGGTTACTAAGTAACATGTTGGGTTTGAAACAATTGCGCCAGTTATAGTTTTGTTTTTGTTTGGGGTTTTTTGGATTTCATGAAATAAAAAGTAACCTTGCATTATCATTGTAAGAAATGTCCACACTGTATGTTCTCTACAGAACACAGGCACTTTATTACTGATGCTACTGATCCTTTGAACTTTCAACCACAAGTTTCACTGTGCTAATGTGAAGAAGCTGCTGGTCGATGTACACAGACTCTATTCCTAAGCTGGTGTTAGCTAATGTTACACACTGTTTACAGTAAAGGGAAGGTGGAAAATAAAGATTAAGACGATGACCTCATGGAATACATGTGAGCGCCACATCCTTTCTCCATATCAATCACAACTGTTATAGCCAAAAATCTGTTACAATGCGTTCAGACATTAAAATCCATTTAAAAGCAATTAATACACATAAAATGCTTGATGTTTGATGATCATTTGTCGATAAGTTAATATTTCTTTTTACTTTTGACGTCTCTAGAGGCAATGTAGAAATGCACTTCAAATACGTATATCGGCGTAATCATCAGTCTTTTTTTGCTTGATAAGAAACGTAATGCAATGAAATTCCAGTGTGTAGTCGATGCATTTTTAACAAGAAATACTAAATGGAAGGCAAGTTATGTTTACAGACACCTCAGTGTGATGTGAATGCAGATAATTGGGTAAGAAAGCAGGTTTAAGGAGACAAGATGACGGTAGCGACCAAAATATTGTGTGTGTGTGTGGGGGGGGGGGGAAGGCAGGCAGGCGTGAAGCCCTTTGATTCAGTAAAACTAGAAAAGTCCTAGTGTAGTAACACCATTAAAACATTTTTTTTAACCCCAAAATACCTTTTTAGTATAGTATAATCAAAAATAAGCATAAAAAGAAAATTCTTTATTGCAGTTTTACTGTATTGTTAAAAAACAACAACTTTCTACTTCAAAGCTTTTTTAAAAACTGTCAACTTTTTGCATTTTCCAACAATATTTGATTCAACCCACAACTGGATGAGTTCAGATTATTTTAAACTACATTACATAACAAAATACATTCGGTACTTGGTTAAACTGTCAGATTTGTAAATCTATACAGTTGTGGGATTTGTATATTATGGTGGATGACATCACTCTAGAATCCAATTAATACTTGATTTGTTAGGCTTACTATCACAAATAATATATAATATAATGTGTGTATCAGGTCTTACAGTATGTTCTTCTTGATATACTTAAGTTGCTGGTGTCTGCTTTTGCAGTGGTTCAGTGTTGCTGAATGTACCGTGGGCATGTGCGTTGTGTCCTCATTGGGTTGAGACCGGTCCAGTTGAACTCTGTGGTCTCTATCGGCGTATTGTTCAGCTCCAGCTACGTCCCTCTTGAGTGAAGTCACAGCATTCCAGGGAGCGGATAAATGACTTAGTGTTATGGCAGATGAGCAGCATTGTGGTTGCTGCTGATAATAGTGGGTAGAAGGGCACAAGTATAGCAGTCCAACTATGAAAACGCCCTCTCCAGCTCTTCTCAGAACAGCTTTTTGGTTAGTATGTGTGAAATAACCAGTCTTCTAAATGTGTTGCCCTGCTTAATTAGGTTTAAAAATGATGTTTTGTGTCCTCCCTGCCAGCCAGAATGCTGTAATACTTTTACATTTATATGAC